ATAACAGAAAAGATATTTGAAAAATGCCAGTCATTGTACAAACAACAATAGGTGAAGTTGGGAGATAGAATTTGTTTTATTTGCATACGTGGGGAGTGGCAGAAGGAAGCAGCACCACTGAATGGCCATGCTATCATCTTCAAGTTATAAGATCCTCTACTAAGCTACTTCATTTTAAGAAATGCTACATGCTAGGTTTTTTCCCAGCCATATCTTCTTTCAGTATGTCACCTGCACATTCACTTGTGCAGCAATACAGTTAGGGGAACGAGCAAAAACCTAATTGCCTTATTTAGATAGTTGAACTTATGAAAAGCACAAAGCCTAACCTGATTTGTAAGTGCTGCGTATGGACTAGGCCCACATATGTGCATATTGCTTAGAACTGTATTTTTCTTCTGTGCTTCTGCAAACACAGTGAGTGTTGACTTCATGGGCATGCAGTTTACTTATGCAGAAATAAAGTAATGAAATGCAGTCTCTTGTCTGTTTTCCTCTTTAAAAGGTGCTACAGAGTGCTGCCACTTTCAAAGCAATTGTCAGTGCAACTGTGTCTGCATCCTTTTGTGCACAACAACGGGATGAGACAAGACAGATTAAAAGCTACAAGCAAATCAGAGGTTTGGCAGCCACTTCAGATCACAGAAGAATGTCTTGACCCACATATTCATTTAAATGAATAAATAAGCAAATTAACTACCTAGTACTATCCTTCTTTGTCAGCCTGATCATTGTGCCTATGTAAAGTATATGAATGCCTTTTTACACAGAGCAGAAAAGTGTTTGAGAGACGAGACTGGTGACTCACAGTTGCTTTGCAACGAACTATGTTGAAAAAGGATGTTTAAACCAGCAAGCTCAGAATTGCTCTCCCTTCATTACATAGGCACACAGCTATGACTGGGAGCATAAACCAATTCTCAGAGAAATTCCTAACAAAATCCACATGTTTGTTTCTTTCCAGAGACATGAGGACTAACCCCCAAAGCTCACCAAGCTGCTTTATTCTGTTCCCTTTGACATTCTCTAGTATCTCCGGGCCTGAGTCAAAGCCGCAGATGTCCACTCGAGACTTCTGTGGGGCTTGGATGGGGCCTGCTTGTTACCAGACTTTGGTGCTGATCTTAGTCGATCATCTGGTCTCTCAGGCTCTCTGGAAGAGGGAATAGCAGACCCCAAAAAATGTGAGGGAAGAATTCAGATTAAGGCTTTCTGGGACAGGTTTCAGTACATTTTTTGAAATAACTAGTCTGGCTTCAAAATCCAAATAAAGGAGTGATGTCTTGGCATGGTTTCCCAATGTGTGTTTGATCTGCACCAAGCGCAACAAAGCAGGAGGCTTTAAGCAGCGTCACTGATTTAATAACAATTAAAAATAGAACTGTGGTTGGATTTGATATTTCACCACATTTCTTGCTCTACCAACTTTGCTGATATACATTACTGTTCCATTTTTCTGAGAAAATAGGAAATATGACCATATCTCAAAGGTGTGACTTCATGCTTGGATCTGCAGCCCTCTGAGCAGCTGTCTTCACAGACATCTCAGGCATAAATCTTCTGTCATCTTGAATGGCACAAAAAGCATCACAGTCATTCCCAGGCTTGCTAGCAAAGCCTCAGCAAACTCACGCTATGCATTTGGGTCCTGATCCAGGATGCATCATAGCTAAACATTTCTCCCTGCAGAGCAGCAGCCTCTGTTCTATTCTCCCATTACCTGTGTTCCCTCCTAATCTGTGCAAAAAAGGTGAAGCACAAAGGGGAAAAAGTCAATGAATGGTCCGTTTATTCAGCAAGACCCTCCACACAAGATGAAATAGCACATGGCACTCAGGATAACATCAGAACACAGCTATGCTTAAACATGGTGAATCTTGGTGGGTTTTGAAACTAAAGAAGTAAAATCAGGAACTAACACAAATTAGGGGAATAAGGTACAGTTTAATAACCACAATAAACAGCTACCGACCGTGTGATAGTGCAGAGGATAAAGCCATGGACTTCGCAGAGCCTGCTGGGAGCATTCAGTGCTGTCTTC